CAGGGTTGATGGGGGGGGAGGGGGTCATTTGCAAGCAACTGACCTTCAGGTTGCCGTAGAGCTCGCCGACAATGTTGTTCTGATAGTAGGCGCTGAGGAAGTGAGCCAGTCTAAGGGCCATACGACCCTCCATCTCGAACTGCACTTCAGCGCCGTAACTCACGCCTCCGGGCATTGTCAGCTCTTCAGGCGTCTTTGTGGCACAGTTCTCCGGCGTCACTGTATCCACATACGTAATCAGTCGCTGGACCTAGAGACAGGACGGTGGAAAGTGGGATAGTAATGGTCAGTTTGAGTACTCTCCCTGTAATCCACTTATATCCCAGAGGCTTTATAGTGACCCCCCCCCGTAGATGCGCGGAACGTAAATGGGGACGAGCTTGAGTCACGACATGCGCTAATCAGGCCAGACAGTATCCACGCAAGACTATAAATACTGCACGAGGGGTATGGTCTCAGGCCAGTCATTGTGTCAATCAGAACTAACTTTCCTTAGGGATGTTATCAAACCGTCCATGTGTGACTTAATTGTTAATTAGAGTGATTTCGTCGAGTATTCCTCTGCGTGAATACACTACTGGGCACACTTGCTTCAGAAGAAGAAGGTGCGATCACTGGAACAAGAGTTTTATTTTCCTGACGTTTCGGATTCTGTCGAGAATCCTTGATCATGGACATGCGCATGTCTCCGACTTTCCTACGATTACCTAGGATTAAGGATTGTCGACAGAAGCCGAAACGTCAGGAAAATAAAACTCTTGTTCCAGTGATAGCATCTTCTTCTTCTTCTGAACTTCTTCCTGGAACTCGCATATGCTCTTCTATTGACATTTGTTTCACTAGTATAAGTTGATTCGAAGCGTCCCTATGAGCAGTAAATATAAAATAACGAAGTGCTGACCCTCGTATTCTGCAAGAAACGGCTGATAATTACAGACAAGTAGTACAATTTTTCCAAAGCCACTACTGCATGCCTTAAAGGTCTGCCGAATTGTGTGCTGAT